AAAGAAAGCAATAAAGCTGGGTTGCCTCCCAACAAGCGCTTGATTTAACGTCGCGGCACAACGTGAATCACTTTCTGCCTCCACTTTGAACTTATGAATCGGACCCGTAGTTTTGATTCTACTCTATGATCATGCTCCTGGGGTGGTGGAACGAATCTGACTGGCCCAATAAAATAATGTAGTATTCTGCACTTCTTGGCCTTTATATCATGAGGTGTGTAATCCTGACTTTCTGGCAAGAAGAATTCCAGAATGTAAGCACTTTGTTCCTCATTCCTTGACTCCTCAAATGACTCAGACGACTCTATTTCCATATCATCATCTAAACACAATGTGAAAAAATTCTTGGAGTGAGGACCAATGCGCTCAATTACATGAATATTGGGACTGTCTACATTCTCAACACTAATGACAATAGAGTCAACTAAATATGTATCCTCAATATCCTTGGTTGACTCTAGTATCTCTTCTACAACATCGCCCTCAAAATCTAGTGCTATTGATTGTTGGTGTTCTACTCTAGCCTCCTCCTCTAGCTCATCAATTTCTGTATCTAATTCACGCTCTTCTTGGATACTATTCACAATATTGGCTTGTTGAGCATTAAAAACTTCAACCAGTTAACTCATGTGAACTTTCAAGTTGTGAATAGTTTCCTCCTGCCTTTCTATCCGCAGTAGTAATTTACTCTGTTGTTCCAAAATGCACTTGAACATATCTTCGAGCTTCTTTAGGTCAGCTTCCCTAGGTTCTTTGTTCCTATTAACTTCACCAGAAAAAGAAGAACCATCAAAGTAAGGGGTTGGGGGAAGGTAAGAAATATAAGCACAACCGTAAAAGTGACCATCTTGACCACCACACATATCACACACATTCCACACATAAGATTGAGTTGGTGCACAAAACTCGCTCTCAGGAATATTTTGATAATTTTGCCCTGGGTGATTTCCTTCACAATATGCATAAGGAGGATCAAAAGTAGAATTACCAACAACAAAATTCTCATAATTCCATGATGTCATGTTTCTCAAATAAACAAATAAAACTAAAATAAAAAAATAAAAAAATAAAATAATAAAATAAAAGTTCAAACTTGAAACCTAGCAATATGTACACCTATAACTACACCATTAGTTCCCCGGCAACGACGCCAAAATTTGATCACGCCCAACTATGCGTTATAAAAAGGACTAAGCGGTCGTTTGCAAATATAATCCGGTTTACAAGTCCGAAGTCGAATCCCACAAAGAACTAAGGCTTAGCTATAGTTGTTCAATATCGCTAAGAAACACAAGTCCAAGCAATTTTCTAATTATAAAGATTATGATATTTATTTTTATCTAATTAACTAACAAATCTAGAAAGTCATAAAACTATCAATTAACAAGGATAAGGATTGGAGTCAAGATTAAGGAGGTCTAGAGTTATGATTTCCCCAATTGTCGGAATCCTTCCCGCTACGTTTTCTATAAATTCGCCTAAGTATTCTCTACCAATCATGAGCGCTCTGACTGTCGTAACTCTCTCCCGAGTAATTATCACAATTTACTAGACGCACTCTCCCGAGTTACGCTAGCTGGCTTTGTTTATTACAACTCACTTTAGATTGCACCCAAGGCTTCGTTATCCCTAATCCCACCTTTAAACCCGCAGTTATAGATCCCTCTTATACTTTGGGAGTGATGTTGTTCAACAACTACCTAAATATGCATTCTCTCCCGAGTTATGCACACTAAATAGGCACACCTAATTGAGGATCCTGTCAATTAACTACAACAAACACGTAGTTCAACAAATAGAGAAAATACTACGGCTCAATTATATAAAAATAACAAGAATTTATCCTACAAAAGGTTCCATCAATACCCTAGATAACAAATTAGCTATTCATAATAGCATGTAAAACTATAATACTAAAAGTCATAACCAACAATGAAAAATAGGAAGAGGAAGGAAAAACTCGTAGAAGAATTCCCCGCCTTGCTCCTAGCGTGTTCTTGCCTCCAAGGGTGTTGTCTAACCCTAAAATAGTGTCTCACCTTCCAAAGTGGTGTTTTAGGATGTATTTATATGACCTAGAGTTGATGAGGGGCGGAATTCTTCAATCCAACTTCGGATGGGAGAGCTGGAATCCGCGTCTGCCTTCGCGTCTAGACGCGGACTTTGACGCGGATCCGCGTCTGCCTTCACGTCTAGATGCGGACTTTGACGCGGATGCAGCTTTTGAAATTCTTCCATTTCGCGAAGCGCTCCGTGCCTTTGCTTCGCTTTGCTGTTTTGTGCCTTAATTTTTCTCCTTTTTCGCGTCCGACTTCGTGCCACGCACGAGAGTAGACGAGCTCCCACTCCTTTAATTTCTTCTTTTTGTGTCGAATTGTCATCTTTTGATCATTTATCATCCAAACTCGTTCCTACACATAAGAAACACATAATGAGTATATTTCACTTCGAAAATCATATAATCTCCCGCGACACACACAAGAATTAATATGCAAATATACTAAAAAATATGTACTTTTCATCATTTATCGGTATACAGCAAATTAAATTTGGGCGACTCTATCTGTACTTCATATTGCATTTTGAATTTGTAATGTACTGAAGTGTAATAAATTAAAAAACCTAGAATCGAGTGAAAGGAGGAGATTTTGCAATAAATTTTCAGAAGCTTCAGGGAGAAAGCAGCTCATTGAATGCAAAGCACGGATCGTAGCCGTTGGCCTGACCATAAACAAGTAGTAAGAAGTATAACACATATGCTGATTTCTCTTTTGTCTTGCAACTGTTTATATTTAAAATTCCAATTGTTATTTCTGCTTCATTTTTTTTTGAGCCAGGAGTCTATCGGAAACAAGCTCTTTGCTTTCACAAGGTAGAGCTAAGGTCTGTGTACACTTTACCCTCCCCAAACCCTACTATGTCAGATTAGTAGAAATGGTATGGGGTAGCCACTATTTAAGGTGGTATTTATTTTTTATCCAGCAATTCTAAAGTTGAGCAAAAATAGCCACTATCCTATTAAAATGAATATGAAAAGACATTTTTACCCTTTCTTCCCTTGTTTTTCTTCCCAAACCCTTGCTTCTCTCTCTGCGTGCCTTCTCCATAATCCAAAATTAATGTTTGTCTTCCTCACCATCGAGTTGTCCAGTTTGTAGAAATTCTCCATTGCCAACTCCTTTGTCCACTCCTTTGGCTGAAGTTGTTCCTTTGGCAAGTCGACCTTCGGGATGAATACACTTGTACTTCATTATTAATGTAAGAGTTTTCAAACATGGTTTATAATATTGTGGACTACTCCATTTATTGCCATAAAGTTGAGATTTTTTTATTTTTATTCATTCAAATTCTTGATGTTTGTTTCATTATCTGCTCGTCCTCTGTAAAGAGGAGCGATGACATAGGATAAGCTTGCTAATGTATCCAAGTGAGTTATAACCAATTATAATAATCATGGATTCCAATAACATAACATCATTGCAAAAGGACGGGGAGAAATAGGTTACATGAATTTATTACTTACAAGTAGCGAAACCAGTTTTTTCTTTTTTACCAACTTATAATTGCACGTATTCTTTTTTTTTCTTCTTCAGTTTTACCATATTTTCTGAGGAGTCATTTTTGTGTGTTCACATTTAATTTATTTTGTGTTAAAATAAATTAAAAGTTAAGGACAATAGGTCCTGAACTTAGGCTAAGAAACTCAAAAGTTAAGGACAGGCAGTCCTTAACTTACAGTTACAAGTTCAAAAGTTAAGGACAATAGGTCCTTAACTTTGATTTCCAAGTTCAAAAGTTAAGGACAGACAGTCCTTAACTTACAGTTACACATTCAAAAGTTAAGGACAAGCGGTCCTTAACTTACAGTTACAAGTTCAAAAGTTAAGGACAGACAATCCTTAACTTACAGTTACACGTTCAAAAGTTAAGGACAAGCAAGTTCAAAAGTTAAGGACAATAGGTCCTTAACTTTGACTTACAAGTTCAAAAGTTAAGGACGCTTGGTCTTGAAGTTTGAGTTCCAAGTTCAAAAGTTAAGGACATGTAGCCTTGAAGTCCTGAACTTAGAGTTCCAAGTTCAAAAGTTAAGGACATGTAGTCCTGAACTTAGAGTTTCAAGTTCAAAAGTTAAGGACATGTAGTCCTGAAGTTAAGGACATGAGCAGAAGGGTATTTTTGTCCGGGCAGTTAAAGTTTATTAAACCAGTGGCTAAAGACTAAAGACATTTAAAACACTGGCTTTAAAATAAAGACATGAGCTTTAGTGGCTATTTGTGCACATCGCCCGTCAGATTACACTGGGTTGTTGTTATTGTTATATATTATTGTTTATATTTAAAATAAAAAAGGAACGCAATAACATTTTAGGGCACGAGGTATGTTGTTAATTATGACACCAGCTTATTACAGTAGTAATAATTTGATAAAACATGATTTACTAAATTCTGTACTTTCAGCAGCGTCGGGACATTGGATAAGCTTTATCCCAAACAGGCAAAATAATTATCATTGCTTCACTGGCCTTTCTTCAAATGTGTAACCAATAATGCAAAAAAGAATAATGTAGCTTAGGATACACCAACCCAACCCCAGTGCTTCAACTTTGAAAATATCAGGTTCAAGATATGTGATTTCATAATATATAAATATTTTAAATACTTTTTAAATATGTATGCACAGTTTAATTAGTATGTAAACGATGAGTTCAGTTAGATTCACAAAATCTATCAAGATCTACCTCACAAATGACACCGCACCGCCTAAAGAAAAATAAAAAAAAAAGAAAGAAAATAATTAACAGTATATAAATGGAGGACCGAGAAAGTAATATACATTGGTAAAGATACTACTGTAATATTCTACTAGCACAATAGCAAGGTTAAAATTAAGATACAATTAATGCATTGTTAAAAAAGAGAGTGAGACACAAATATTACATGGCATCTCAAAATATCTAAAACACATCAAATCTCACATTAATTCTACCAACACCAGCAATAGAACAAGACAATCTCTTCATAATTAATTTCTTTTATATAGTAAATATTTATAAATGACACAAGAAGACATCATTAATTAATCAAGAAGAAGATGATGAATCATTTCTAGCAGTTGGGGACTGAAGTGGAAATAAAGGCAAGAGTTCAGGAGGTTCAGAGCCTCTAGGAGTACTAAGTGGATTTGGATGCAAATAAAATCCTTTTTCAGCAATGGCTTTTTCTTCTTCCTCCATTGGTGATCTCGGAGTTCTTGGACTGCCACGTGTCAGCATTTCTAGTGGTGAAACCGGCGAAGCCAAAAAGCTTCTCTTCCTAGCTGAAGAAGAAGAAGGTGACAAAAGTGGGCCGGTGCCGAAGCCCGCAGGCGGCCCACTACAACCCCCATTGTTAAGCATGATCTCGAGCTTTCTTGCACTCATTTGCCTCCGTTCGTGTAGCTTAAAAGCCGGCCGCCGAGGTGGTCCAGCTGGTCCGGACCCGGTAACAGGGAGCTTAACAGAAGACGAGTCTTGGGTTGCGCCAGTGAGTCTTTGAACAACGGCTCGGAAATTTGACGGGTCAGCTTGAACGAAAGTTGTATTGGGTGTTAATGAATTTGAGTCGGACCCGTTAGGATTAGTGGTAGAAGAAGAAGCCATTGATAATGAGAAGGAAAGTGAATTGAGAAGATTTAGAAATGAAAGAGAAACGGAGGAAAAAAGAGAGCGGGAAGAAATTAAGGCATGAAATGAGGCGTTTTTTTGGAAGCTAAGGGGTAAGAAGAAAGAAAGAAAGAAAATGCGTATGAGTTGGGGTTTAGTGGTTTTATGTGTATATACAGAGAGTTTGCTTTGTAGTATCTTATCGAGGATTGTAAAATTTGTCAGATACTCCAAGGGAGTAGACTTTGAGGCATAGGGACAGCATATAATGTATATACTTTTCACGTTTCGACAAAATTACTAAGGGGTCGTTTGGTTGGAATACGATTTATACCGATATAAGTTATGTCGGTATAAGTTATATTGGGTTAAGTTATACTGAGATTAGTTATGTTGGGATTGTTGTTTATTTATTGTTTGGTATGTTGTATTAAGAATGACAATTGCATAATTTCTAAGAATAAGGTATAAGTAATACCGGTGCTAATTACCCCACCTTCTATAAGGTATAAGTTATCCCAGTATTAAAATTAACACCGGAATAACTTATACCTGGTTTGTTAACCAAACAGAGTATTAAGGTGGTATTAACTTTTTATACTACCCTTATACCTTCTTATACCTCATACCAAACGACCCCTAAAGTTGCTATTTTCACTCCACAGGTTAAAAGCTTATGGAGTAATAATATTCTCATATCACACTCACTCCAAAAACATATACTAGTTGAAGTAAGTCAATGGCGCAGTGACTCATTGCGATAATTAAACAATATATTTAACTGAACTCAACAATTTTGACACAAAATATATAGAAGTATATATGCGTAACAATTGAACCAAATTATTTTAAAGTGCAAGGAGTTTATTAATAGATACTTAGCGGAGGCGTATCTAGGCCGAGTGATACCGATTCACATGAACGCATATTCCTATTCTTAAACTATATATAACAATGTTATATTTTTTTCAATATTAGTTAAATATATGTGCGTGTACCCATGCTCAAAGACTCCTGTAGTACAATTATTCTTGGGTGCACCTCTAAAGTGAAATTGGAAGTTCAAATCCACTTTGAGCGGTATATATATATATATATATATATATATATATATATATATATATATATATATATATATATTAGTAAAATATCAAAAAAATTAAACCTGTTAAATATAAATTCTAAATTCGCCTCTTTACAATAGTGTATCCATTTCTTGAAATCTTGGATCGGCCGTTAGAAGTTAAAATATTCAAATTTAAATACTGAATACATCTTTGTGATTGTAAAAATATCTATAAAAAAAAAGGGTGGAAATAAGGAAATATAGTTGAACTTTTTTCTTTTTTACTGGGTTGCATATAGTGGTTAGGGAGTTGAAAAGTTGAAATTTAAAGGGGGAAAGAGTGGCAGTAACAGAGAGGGCAATAAATGGGAAAGAGCTGGCAATGAATGATGAGTCATTCTGGATCAGCCCCAGCACTGTAACGGGAAACGAGGAACTCTTCTTTGGCAGCTTACCTACACAACACAACTAGACTCCCCTCCGTTTTCTCCCTCAATTTCTCGAATATCCTTTTCCTTCTTTTCTTCCTTTAAAAAAACAAATAGTTCAATTTTCACATACTGATAATAGTTTTAAAAAAAACTAATATGTTACAACATATTAGAATATATTGAGATTGTTAATTTTTTTTATTACCAGCATATATTGGTTTCATTTAAAAATAGAAGAAAATATCTTTTAACTAAGATAGTTTATACATGAAATAAATAATAGCCTGTTTGGCCAAGCTTTTTTTGGGGCCAAAAGCACTTGGAAGGAAAAAAAGTGCTTTTGAGGAGAAGCAGAAGCAGTTTTGGAGAAGCAGAAAAAAGTAGCTTCTCTCCAAAAGCACTTTTCTGAGAAGCACTTTTGAGAAAAATACACTTAGAAACAGTTTTCTAAAGCTTGGCCAAACACTAATTACTGCTCAAAAGTGTTTTTCAAATTAATTTTTCAAACACAAACTATTTTTCACCAAAAACACTTTTTTAAAAAGTAATTTTAAAAAAAACACTTTTCAAAATAAGCTGATTTTAGCCACACGGGCTTATTTTTTTTGAAATATTTTAATTAAAAAACGAAAAATACTTAATAATATAGTAAAAAATATGAAAAATATTATAAAAATAGGAAAAACAATAGAGAAAATTTCCAATACATCTAGTAATAATATAGCACATAAAAGAGTAAATATAAGTTGGGTTTGAAGTGAAAGTCTGTTTTTCTGAAATGCACTTTCCCCTTAGATAGCGTAGGAAAAAGGAAGTTTGACATATTGAAAAAGATAAAAAGTGTTTGTTCAGTGGCAGAAAGGCCATACCACCATCCAACAACAGTCTTATTATAAAACTTTCAGTTTGAGTTTCACTTTCTTTTTTTCTTCTGTTATATTATGGCTTTTTTGCTTGTTAGTTTCTTAATTGGTAGAGTACAACTACTTCCCTTTTAACAGTTTTAGTAGTAGGCCGTAGAATATTACAAGTTAGAAACGAAGTTTATAATGTTTATTATGGTTATATTTATTGCGTAGTTTCTTTGCTTTACACTTGGTTTTCTTATTTAGTTGTTTTCTCTTGCTTTGCGGGTTTGCCTTTCTTTTTTGTTTGTTTCTAATCAGACTCTTTCTTCACGGGTTCTTCCTTTTTCTTCCATATATTCTCCTTTTCTTTTGAAAGATATTAGTAGTAGTATTTATACACGTACATGACATAATTCAGTCGTATGTATAGTGGCTAAATGGTCCATTAAGGAACCTCACCTCACCCCAGAAAAAAGTAGTTTTCCAAATGATTAATTATATGTGCAATTAATGTAATATTTTACAAAAGAAATTCGTTTTATTAAGTGCAAAAACATATTGCTTTAGATAGGATTTCATTCAAGACTTAAAATTTACGAGTTTAACTTTTAAAATTATTAACAGTAAATTTATTACTATAAATTATGGGTTCTTAATTTAATATTTGTTAAAATATTCTGATTATTCACATATCTATCAATGTTTTGTGTCAAAAATATTAGTTTTGAACTCATAGCTCAAAACTCCCTCCACCAATACTAGCCTCAGGGTAGTTGATATAGAACCCAAAAGGAAAGAGAAAAAAAACTTACTCACCCCCAGTATTTATATGACAAAATAAATGAGTACAAGATACATGTCTATATATATTTTTATCCCTATAATTATTATATATATTCGTAGTTTCATTTTTTTAATTATTAAATATTTTGGTGTGGTGTTTACACTAGGTTAGAGTAAGTATTTTGCTGCATATCTTCAACACAATAAATACGGGTCCAACTTGAACTGAATATACAATTTTAAGAGAGATTAATTAATATTTATTGATACTACTGAACTCATAACATGATCGGGTAAATTTCACAAATGGTCATATAACTATGAATTTGTTTTATCAAAGTCATATAACTTTGTTTTCTCGCACAAAAATCATATAACTATGATTTTTTTTCACCAAAGTCATATAACTTTGTTTTCTCACACAAAAATCATAGAACATTCACTAACTCACATAAATATCATAGTGATCGGAGAATAAATTTCCGGTTTTCAGTAGTATTTTCTAATTTTATGTTTTTTTATTTTTTATTTTCAGTCTAATAAATAATTACCCAATTAAAATAGGAACGATTCAACCCGACCTGGCACACCCAACCCAGTACTCATATATATAGATTAAAATAATACTAAAAGTGAATAGTAAATCCTTCAAAAATATGATACTTCTGTCTTTTATTTTTCTTTTCAAGATTTTATTCAAATTAATAGCATTTTTATATCAAGTGCTCTAATTATACCTTTTATTTCTTTATTTTTTTTTTCAGAATCTCATGCATTCTGAACTAAATTTTTTATGGGGAAAGAATTCACTTTTAGTATTATTTTAACTTACATATATGGGTATTGGATCAGGCTGGGTTGGGTCATTTCTATTTTAAGTGAAAAATATAAAATTAACCGACCGGGCGAAACTAATTGCATTTGCTATAAAAAAAAAAGAAAATATATATATATATATATATATATCGACTATTATTTTTAGAAGCGGCTAAAAATATACTTATATTTCTTCTATTTTAACTGGATAATTATTTATTAGACTGAAAATAAAAAAAATGTAAAATAAGAAAATACTACTGGAAAATTTATTTTTCAATCACTATGATTTTTGTGTGAGTTAGTGAAAGTTTTATGATTTTTGTGTGAGAAAACAAAGTTATATTGTCACGACCCAAAAACCACAAGTCGTGATGGCACCTAACTCAACCCGCTAGGTAAGCCAACTAACAGGAAAAACCACCCAACTGAGATTATAAGAGGATAGAAAATAGATAGCTGAACATTTACAAATTTACCAAGACCGGGTAGTACAAATCACAAGCTTCTAAGATTTGGAATTTCAAAACTGACACAAATAAATACATGTTCTATTTGAAAGTTACAAAAACAGATTAGCAATAACCTAAACTACCAAGAACAAGTGGCAGCTATATCCAAACGCACGAACATCTTCCGAATCAACACCTGACGTCACCAGCAACTCCGCTCCAAAATCTGCACGGGACGTGCAGAAGTGCAGTATCAGTACAACCGATCCCATGTACTGGTAAGTATTTTGTCTAACCTCGTCGAAGTAGTGACGAGGCTTTTAGTTAAAAAGATGTTTATTTAAATAACCTGTACATTAGATTAACAGTAAAGCAGTTCAAAGTATAACAGATAAAAGTATCAAGTACAACCCGGCGAGTCAGACAATGAATATTATAAAGAACCACTGTAGAATATTTACGATCTTCCCTAGTATGAGATACATGTCTAAAATGTCAAAATCTCAAATCACATGGCACGGTAACACCCTTCGTGCTTTTATCTCATCCTCACCATATATAAATAAATATATGAAACAATTCAATTAGCACGGCAACATCCTTCGTGCGTTCAACTCATCCTTTCCAAGTAATCATATAACTGTACCAACCATATCACAGGAACACAATAATAGGAATTACTAAGTAGGAAATACGCCAGTAACAACAGTGGACAAGGAAACACATGTGGATCACAGTAATAGACTAAGCGGAAAGCACGTGAGTAACAAGAACAATTGCAAGACAGGGAATATCAACTTCAATTAACTAGCATATAACAATTAAGAAGAAAACACATGTTCTTTACAA